CCTGTGGGTTTTTGAAACTGTAACCATTTAGGGGAGAAGAAAGCTCTGCCTTTCAGCCGCTGAGCTGTTGGCCACGTCCGACTGCCTGCCAGGCGGACTGCAGCCCCATGGGTAACCACTGCTCCAACAGGGCTGGAAAAATACATTCATCTTACAGTAATCAAAGAAAAGCAGACAAATTTATCTTTGATAAAATAGACTTCAAGGGAAAAGCCATCATGAGAAAAGAAGAAGGTCATTATAGAATGATTAAAGACACAATTGACTAAAAAGATATAATTATAATAAACATCTATGTACTCAATGAAAGACACTCAAAATGCATTCATCCAATTCTTACAGTGTTGAAGAGGCAAACAGTCAATAAAACAATAATAGTAGCAGACTTCAGCACACCTGTCTGAAGGAAAGACGAAGCATCCAGGAGAGAGGTCAACAAAGATACAGGAGAAGTCAACAACACAATCATCTTGCTCTCTTAAACACATATAGAACACGACTTCCACAACAACAATTTTGTCCAGTGCACATGGAAAAGCAGAATAGACCACATGTTGAGCAACAAAGCTAGCATCAATAAATTAGAACATTTAGATACAAAAAAGCATTTTTTTCAGATTGTAATGCTATAAATTTAGAAGCAAATAACAGGAAAATCAAACCACCCCCTCCCAAAAAAATCAAATGTATGGAAATTGAACAACACAAATTCTGGAGAAGGTGTGGTGAGACTGGAACTCTTATTCACTGTTGATGGGCTTGTGAATATGTACACCCACTGGTGGAAAACAATATGGTGATTCCTAAAGCAGATGGAAATTGAAATCCCATATAAGCTAGTAATACCATTACTGGCCATATGCCTCAAAGAAATAAGAAATGGATCATGAACAGATGTATGCTGTCCCATGTCATTGCAGCACAATTCACAATAGCAAGAAATTGGAAACAGCCTAAATACCCATCAGTAGAAGTTTGGATAAAGAAGTCTGGAATATATGGACCATAGAAACCTACACATCCTTTAAAAACACCGATGAAACCACGAAACACCTCATGACATGCAGGGATCTGGAAGTCAATATGCTGAGTGAAGTTAGTCAATCACAAAAGCACAAATTCTGCATGAATCTACTGCTGTAGGAATAAGCAACGGGACAGGCACAAGCTCAGGCTTGCAGGGGATTCAGTCTGCTGACCTGGATGGCCAGATGGCCTGCTAGAAAGCCTAACTGGTGCCAATAAACCATACACTATCCTCTCTAGGTGTATTCTTGAACGTCACTTTGCCAGCGGGTGCCTCACATCAGCTGGGATCAAATTGGTAAGGGAGGGGAAGAGGATATTATCTACCATAAAAGTTATGACGAGTCACCGCTGGACAGATAGACAGCCCTATCAGAGGGATGAGGGGTACTAATAGGAAAGTCAAGTTAGGAGAGGGGAAATGGAGCAAGTGCATCCATGGGAGCACAAATGCAGGAGGACTGACCTCCAGGTGGCAGGAAGATTGACTGAAAATGCTTCGGGGGACTAGAGGGAGTGGTGTTCCTGGGGGTATGCATGGAATGGGCCATATTGATCCAAGCTTCTGGGTGCATCCTGGCGACCCACGATGGGTCCTGTGGAATGCTGGGGCATTGGATCCTGAATATTCAGGGTGCACAGGATGGTCCAGAGGCCGCATCAGTAAGATTCTCTGTGGAAAATCCACTGGGTGAGCCAGACTCTATCTCCGATATCACTAGTGGGGTTGCAGAATTGTACAATTTACTATAGAGAGCAGTATAATACTTCTTTAAAATATATAATAAAAATGCCATATGAGCCAGCAATTTCCAAAATCATTATATAGCTCCACTAAGCAGTGGATACCCACAAAGAAATTAAGACCAAACAAGAAGAGATGTGCGCACACCTGTATTTATCGAAGCATTAATTCACAGTATCAAAAGGATGGAAACAACCCAAATGCCCCTCTCTGAAAGAATGGATAAATAAACTTTGGCCTATAGTAATGGAATCGTATTCATTTCTGAAGAATGAAGACTATTCCAAACCCCTCGTGGCATAAGCAACTTTGGCAGCCATTATTCTCAGCAAGGTTAATAAAGACATATAATACATGAGACCACTATTAGAAAAAAACTGAGAAAGATTATTTTGTTTGCTCACCAAAAGAAATAGATTTTGATGTTTACAGGGAGGTCAGGAGAGTGGGGGAGGGGAGAGAGAGAGGAAGAAAATTAATTTAAAAATAGAAACATACTCAGATACACATGGATATAGAAACACACAGACACACATATAGGTACAGAACGGGGGTGGGGGGGGAGTTATGTGGTAGTCACCTAATCTGGTGCTAATTTAAGGATGAAAAGTGTAGGGGTGCGGTCTAGGCTGTCAATCTGGAGATAGCCAGTGAGACTTCTGTGTGGGCATGGTACTTCCTCCTTGGAGGTGGAAGGCATCTCTCTCTGCTACTCCCTGGGAGACATTGCAGAAGACAAGCCACATGGACGCAACCAGACCTCGGAAGCCGGAGAAGCCACAGAGAGACCCCTGCCAGTGCTGAGATGTTTCCTGCGCCACTGGACCCAAAGACTTTCTACCCACTGGCTTGTGATCGTCCTGCACTTGGTTTTCTTGCATGTGTTTCATGAGTCTAAGGAGGACTTTATAGATTGGTATCGGACATATGGGCTAATATCGGACTTATGGCCTTGGACTGGGTGGGGATGTTTTCTCAATGTTCAATTCGTCTTGTATATACACATATGTGTGTCCATGTGTGTGGAAAACGTAATTCTTTCTGTCTATATCTCATCTGTCTTCCTCATCTGCAGCAGAGTATCAGGGAAGAAATTAAATCTGGTTTAAATTAATTTTATCTTAAAACATAATTACACCTTTTAATGTCCATGTGTCTTTTAATCTCTTTCTTATACACATATGTGTGTCCATGGATTTGTTTCTCTAGTCTACCTGGACTAACACAGCTAGCAACACATAAATCAATATTGAGAGAGTAACATAGATAGACATAGATAAACAGGTATTAATATAAGTAGTTTGCATACGCACAAAACACACGTAGATACATAGTAGCATTTTTTTAAAAATAAGCAAGTGGGCTTGCAATATTTTAATACAAGTTAAAATGCACATGAGCACGTGTGTGGAAAATGTAATTCTTTCTGTCTATATCTCATCTGTCTTCCTCATCTGCAGCAGAGTATCAGGGAAGAAATTAAATCTGGTTTAAATTAATTGTATCTTAAAACATAATTATGCCTTTTAATCAGTGCTTATTATCTCTTGCAAAGAAAGCTTATTTCTCATTTCTATTCCCATCATCGATTTCTCCAGAAAGGCAGAAATTGTATGCATGATTTCATAGCAATTGCACGTGTTCAGGTGCACTGTGAGCCATCATCTCCTCTGGTGTCTGAGGGAGAACTGACTCTCCCTGGCCCGCCCCCTCACAACTGCACCACCTCTGTTGTAAATTACTGGCCTTAAAACTGGGGCAATAACTCCCACAAGGTTCATTTCCATAAATGTCTCCTCCTGGCCTCAGGCTGCCTCTGCCTCACTTTGCTGCCAGCTCTGAAGGCCACCTCAGGCTTACCAGCAGCCTGCTGTCAGGTCCTTCTGTGTTCTTAGTGTGGATGCGTGGGCCCTGAGGAGGCTCAGGAATACCAGCCCTCGGGCCATTCCGGGCCCCCATGCATGGCTCTCTTTCAAGAAAGCTGGTGTGGCTGCAGCAAATCAGACAACCGATGCTGTCCCTAAGACCGCTGATTTCTGGAGTACAATGTACTCTCCAGGGCAGGTTTTAGAAAGGAAACAACTCCACATTTTCTTTTTCACATCCCTCAAAATTTGAGGAGACAAAAGGAGCAGGATTCTTTTCTTACATTCTCTAAGTTTCACTCTCATCATTTCTGGCCGGAGGCTTTTTACCCCTAAAGAGAGAATTTGGTCTTGGTCCTAGGGCTCAGCCCTCTATAATGTTTAAGAGAGGGTGGAGAATCTTCTTTCTTGCCCTTTCACTGTGCTTCTCGTTAGTGACAACTCCTAATCTGTTTCTCAAGGAAATGCTCACTTAAGGTCAAGTATGATGAAGACCTGATCCTCAAAATGCAGAAGAGAAAGGGAAAACAGCATGTTCGAGGATTCCAACATTGACCTTGCCACTTAAGCTTCTATATTCTATACTAATAATGCCAAGACTTTTTATTTCTGTTTTATTATCACCAATGTTTCTTTTGAAATAAGAATGATTCTGAACAAAATACCTATAGTAACAATTCCCAGGGACCTGAAGTGCAGAAAGTTGTAAAGTGCTAACCGCCCATCAAACATATGCATGAATACTGTCGAGCCAAGAATTCCAAGACTAAGATCCAAAAGTGAGTCATTGAACTTGAACCTTCCTCCTCTGTGACTGTGAGCATATCAGATGCCCATCTCTTTGCACCTGAGATTCCTCACCTAAGAAAAAGGATGAGGCCTATTCTGGATGCAGAATGGAACATGACGTAGATGACTATGAGTATAATTGACATAATCTTCTACAACCTGAATCTGTAAAGGTAATGTAAACTATACTTATAAAGGTAGAACATTCTGCCATCCAGTCATCTGCAACTCACAGGGACCCTCGCAGACAGAGAACCACCCCTGTGGGTTTTGAGGCTGTAAATCTTGACAGGAGCTGAAAGTTGCACCTTTCTTCTGCAGAGCAGCTGGCGGGTTCAAAATGCTGCCCTTGCAGTCAGCAGCCCAGCATGCACCCCCCTACAATACAGGTGCTCCCTTTAGAAAGACAGAGATATTACATAATAAGTCTATCTCTGTAAGGCTTAAGGAAAAATATTTTTATTCTGAGGAAAATCATTTATCTTTACAGACTTGGTTCTTCCCATAGGATAGCATTCATTTTCTTGTGCCACAATATTATTAGAAGAGCTGTCGGAATGATCCCCAGTGCCTACCTTCTCGATATCTGAAGAGAATGTCCCAGATGCTGCGACGGGAGCAAGGGTCCACACCACTGGTGGGCTCGTCGAGAATCACAGTTTGGGACATACCAATGAAAGCAATTCCGATGGAAAGCTTCCTCTTCATGCCTCCAGAAAGAGTCCTGGTTTGTTTGTAGCGGTGCTGTGTTAACTCCACCGCCTGAAGAGTTCTGAAAGAAGACAACAGTTCTCATTCCTCAGTCGAGATTCACATCTTACTCCGATGCTTCACTTTTCCCCTCATCCACACTGAATTTCAGTGGCCAAGATCTTTCTCCGGTAGATAGACATGCATATAGATATGCACACACAACACTACCCTTGCTGATGGTCAATTTGGGATTGTATGACTGGACTAAATTGATGTCAATTGTATGACTGGACTAAATTGATGTCAACTCAACCATCCTGTCTGTCATGTGCTTTCATGAAAAATACTTCATTTCTCTCTGGAAAGAAGCACGTTTCTTCCTATGGACCACCTGCCAGAGGACACACATCTCCATGAAATAGTAGGTTGCATAATGGAATGTCTATGAGCTAGGAAGATTAAAATTTTAAAAATAATAATAAATCTTGAGGTCCAGGACTCCCTCTTTCACTCACTAGAGGTGAAAGTCCTTTAACTCTCTGAGTCATTGTTCACTAAATCTGTGTCATTCAATTTAGCTGGATGAATAAATGGGAACTTCTAGGTAAATACTATGTGCAAACTGTTTATAAATTATTGTTTACAATTAATGAAGCTACAACTCATGAATTAGTTTGTTATATCATGGTAGCTTGCATGCTGCTATGGTGCTGGCTGTTATGCCAATGGTATTTCCAATACCAGCAAAGTTACCCATGGTGGACAAATTTCAACAGAGCTTCCAGTCTAAGCCTAGGAAGCAGCAGCCCGCTTCTGAAAATGTAGTTACTGAAAATCTTAGGAATATAAGCAAGGAAGAGCTTAAGAAGAAATTAGGGACACTCTCACTTTCTGATCTCAAAACCTAATTCACACCCACAATAGTTAAAACACCTGGTACTAGCACAGTGATAGATACATAGAACAATAGTCCTCACTAAGGCAAAACGACTCAAAACTAGAATAACTACAAACATCCATTAATTACAATGTGGAATGTATAAAGTATGAATCTAAATATGTCAAAAACCATGAAAGACTAAATGGAACACTTAAAGATCAATGTCCTCCTTTGCATTCGTGAGATGAAATAGAATACATAGGAATCAAATGAGCTACATCTTTGGAAATAGACAACGGCGAAGCTCACTGTCAATAGTAAGACCAAAGCCAATACTGACTGTGGAACACACATAACTTGCTCCTAT